AACCAGGTCTTCGAAGGCCTAGCAGCAAAAACCATTGTCATATTCGGAATCAGCATAGTCGATAACCTATTCTCCACTAGATTTCAACAAAAAAGCGAGCGGACACTTGGGGCAGTTCCCTCGTGAGCCCAAATGCATAGCACTATTAACAATCAACACAGCTTTATAATGTAAATCATATATAGCTTTGAGATAAGCTGAAGCACCATCTTTAAAACTGATATTTGTGTGTAGCTCTTTCAAAGAAGTATAAACAAGAGTGAGCGTGCTCAGTAAATGTTTCGTATCGTCGCATTAAGTAACGAACAAAGTTGCACTTTTTACATATTTCTTTCACATGCAATGATCAGTCTAGAAGTTTCGGTAGTTGTACTCCTAGATGTTTATGATGGTCAACAAACTTTAATGCAGTAGGAGGAGCTGAAACAACAAAAACTGACTGAAAAGAAGTTAATCAGAGATTCTTTTTTATGTGCTCATACAATTTATTGAAAACGAGTCTTTTTAATATTTTTGAAACAACAGTAGCCAGTCGCTCACATGCATTTTTTCGTCAACCAGTAATAATTATTCAACTTGCAGTTGGTATCAGATCAAACTTGTATGATGTCTTTTATTTGTTGGATAATCACTTCTCGCTCATACGTGTAACAATCTCCACTCACTTTAGAAACAAAAAAAAACGGTATACAAATTAGGCATCGAACTACATGTGCATGTATCTCATGAGATAATAAATTAACCTTTCTTTTATCTCATATTGCACTTTTCATTCTGTTCTTTTAACACAAGGTAGAAATATAGAAAAAAGTCTTTCTGTTCTTATCATTCAAGAATTTTGTTACCTTTCACTATTGTTGTTATATCTGATTCACGGTAAAAAAAGCGACCATTTCTTCTCATCATCACACGGTTGTCAGTTTTCACTAAAAAAAATAGTTGAACTTATGGCAACCTGTAGAACATTTCAACGTTTAACCCTATGATGAAACGTATCAAAAACAGTTAATTACAATTTTAACTTTTCTCTCACTACAATTTTAAATTTACTGGAGAAAATGAAAATTTGCGCCGTTGAAAGTTGAGTGCGATTTTTCAAGGCATCAGCCTATTCAAATCTAAACTTGAAAATAAAGATATTTTACGGTCTTCGTAGCACCTCTTAGGAGATTAAATGTTGCGGGAAGATTTTCAAAGGCGAATGGGCTTTTCTAATAATAGATATCAACGTCTTCGTAACAAAATCGATTCGTTGGACCGATTGATCTACGCCTACTACTAAAAAACAACGCAAAAATTGGTTGTCCGTAGTAACCTGTTAACGATTTACCGAATTCGTGTGCTTATGCTCTAGTGGCAGCACAGGATTGCCAGCGAACTTAGAAGTGACACAAAATCAATTCTCATGATACATCACGTCTAATAAAAAATGTAAAGCACAGTTTATATTTTTTATGTTTTTTTCCAACCTAATTCTCAATTTCTGATTGTTTTGTTCCAGATATAGATATGGCAAACCGAACGATAATCATGCCAACAATAGCTGGTGCCGCATTATATGTGAGTAATGACAGAGTATCAAATTTATTTCAAGAACCTTGATATATTTACTTGGTACTTATGCGCAGAGGCGGCGAAACGTTTTCATATGGGGTAAGGCTCACTTTTCAAAAATTTACTGAGTCAAACAAAATACTCAGCCGCAAAACTAAACTGTATATGTGGCAACAGAAAAAGACAAAAAGAAAAGAATTGCGTGGCTGTATAGTCACGCATTAAATGTATGATTAATGAAAAATCCCTAGTGGAAAACTGATATTTATCTTTGGAACGGGGTAAGGCTGAGCCAAAGAGAGCCTTACCCCGTCTAGTGGCTCTGCCGCCTATGTTTATGCGCCGTTCAATAGAATAGTATTCAAATAATTTATCAAACTTTTCAAAACAAAAATGTATTGTTTCATTTAGACCTATTATATTAGTCGTCAAAACAACAATAAAATAAATACCGTGTCGCGCAAGGAACCATCCTCTGTTTTCCCGACAACTCTGGTTGTTGGCACGGGTGTGGTGGGTCTCACAACAGCATATTACCTGGCCAAAAATGGACATCAAGTAATTTGTATTGAAAAACGTGAAGATGTGGCGCTTGAAACAAGGTATTGTATAGGCATATACCGATATTTATCGAGTGTAATTTGGTGCTTTTTTCACAAAAGCTTTTTGTAGCGCGATGATCTTCCAGAATTTTTAGACTCACTGGATTTTGTAGAGGAGACATATCTCTGCAAATGAGATATAGCAGTACTTTCATCTTGATTCAGTATTTAAATAAAAGTTGTCTATTAAATGTTCCATAGGTTATTGCTCATTATCAAGAAGCAGTTACGGCAAAAGGAGAGAAATAAACAGTTTCGTCATACCTTATTCTGTGAAAAGTTAACGAGTTAGTTGTACGGAACTAACGACGGAGCCGCGTGAACTGTCACACCGCTTTTTCAGCCAAATCTAGTAGGTTATAGGATCTGAATATCATAGTGGGAGCTGCCCAGAGGCCTTCAAAGCGCCTCTCTTTCAGAAATGTTAGGGGCTTTTCTTGTAAATTCTATAACTTTGGAAAGAAAGGTCATGTAGAGCTGGGAGATGTCTAATTTTAATCAGAAATGTGCGCGCTACAATTATGACGCATTAAGAAAGGTTTTGGTAACTTTTTAGAGTTTTGAAAACTGGTTTTCGAGAAAACCGCTCGCTGAAGGCCTCTGGGCTGCTCCCACTATGATATTCGGACCCTATAACCCACTAGGTTTGGCCGAAAAAGCAGTGTGACAGTTCGTTAGGTGCTCTCGTAAGAATTCAAGAAACTTTAATATTTTGCGCTTCGTAATCAGTTTGATTGTGAAAATGAGTAAAATATACCAATAGATACCGGTACATGTCTAACACTGTAAATACAAACTCACATGTGGATGTCTGAAAACCTGAAACTGCCTTTTACATAACGCAATTTGACATTTAGTAACAAAAATGGTTCACTTATCTGCCCGTCTCTTATCACACCATGGTCAAATGCCAGTGTTCCATTAAAATATGTGAAATCTTGGCTGAATCGTGACCAACAGCCATCAATGAAAATTTGGGCACATGTTAGTGATCTGAAATACTTCTTACACAGATACAAGTCCATATTTTTCAGGTTCTGTTTACTATGGATTTTTATCGTTGGTTCTACATTTATTTGAAAAATTGTACAAGATCTGCACAAAGTAAAAATACTAACGGTTTAGCAACCTTGAGCTCATACTCGTTAAAATGCCTTCAGGAACTACTTACAGAGGTATAACTTTTATAAGATTACTGCACCTTGCATACACAGATTCTAATTACTTTAAGCACCCCATTCCATTTTCATCCTATACCCGTGGCACTCTCCAACTAGCCACCGATCGTTCTTTATTTGATTCTCTTGCCAAAGATTTGAATCAGTCAGATACCAAGGATCAAATATTCAGCACGAATGACGAGGTTATTCGTCAAGAGCCTGTGCTTGAAGCAGTTCGTGATCGGATTTACGGTGGCATCTACAATGCGATGGATACTAATGGTGATATTTGGGAATTTTGTCAGAATTTAAAAGAGATTCTTGTGGAAAAATATCAGGTCAAGTTCATTTTCAATGAAGAAGTAAAAGGTTTTGAAGTGGAAGAAATAGAGAAACAGAAACAATATCGTGTTACTGCAGTTCTGACACAGAATGGAAACAGAATTGATGGTGATAATGTGGTGATTGCTAATGGAACATACATGACACCATTAATGAAACAACTAAACGTCTACATACCTGTTTATCCTGTTAAAGTGAGTAGCTGAGTTTGTACCGGAACGCAAACAGCTAAGAGATGATAGAAAATGACTAGCTAACTTATACTCTATATTCAAAATCAATTGCTATTCAGGGTTATGTCGTTGAAATTATCACTCCACCTAATATTCCACTTCCCCTCGTCAATATATGTGATGAAGTCAAGAAAATATACATCTCAGCTTTGGCTCCCAATTCTGAACGAGGAGTGGTTCGTGTTAGTGGACTAGCTGAATTTGCTGGATGGAAAGTAAGTTTCCAGATTCATCTACCTATTTGTTATATATCTGCTCTTTTCTTTCATTTTCTATTCAGGATATTGGTATGCAGCGAATTTTTCGTGTATGGAGTTTATAATACTTTTATTTCGTTGTATAGGTGTAGTGAGTGAACCGCATCGTGCCGAGTATCTGTTGAAACAGACTTTATCCTGGCTACCACATCTATCTTCTTATCCAACAAAGTTTTACTCTTGTTCTCGACCGGTTTCACCTGACGATGTGCCTATTATTGGTCAAGTACGCAGTTCAGCAGTTGTTTACGAGAATGTCTATGTCAATGGTGGACATGGTTCGAAAGGTTGGACGCTGGCTTTTGGGTCTAGTTCACTTTTGGCAGAAATCATTCAGAATAAAACGCAGACATCGATAGAATCAACTCCATATGCTCCACAACGGTTCGCATGATTTCTGTTATTAAATTAATAAAATTTTGATAAAACTGGTACATAGTTGATGCTTTTAACGAAAATTAGATTCAATTCCTTTTTACCATCTTTGATATATTTCAGACGTTTTTCGGTCAAATTGATCGTTGAACCATTCATAACTCGGTCTACGGCATCGGACGAAGCTATGAATGATTCATATACTTGAACTAGACATGTAGCTGTCAATGAAAGGTGCTGCTAATTCAAAAATAGAGCAAAATGTTAGTTTAGTTTAAGCTTTTTATTTAAAGAAATCAAAAAAAAGGAAACAAGTAAAGAAGACCAAACAAGTGAAATCGTTGTCCTAGGGACTACATTGTATCTCCTGAGAGGAATCCTTAAACAGAACATCATCATAAAATAAAAATGGACGAAAAGAAAAGAAAAACGAGCAAAATGTTTTTTAGGCCGTTCATGTTGTTTCTAAGATTTAAAAGTTTTTGAAGACTCAACATGTAAAACTGAGTCTAGAAACATGGATTTGAGAACGTTCAAATATAACATGGTCATGAAGTTTTGGATCTGAGTCGAACCTGCAAAATGCGAGCAGAACACGCGGCAAAAGCTTGAAGTCTTCTCAAACGGGATATTTTAGTGGATATTTTCATTTCATTCTACTCGTTAGGATGCAAGAGAAAGTAACTTTTTTGACCGTTTTGAGAAATTTTACTTCGTTGGAAGGAATTTAATTTTTTAAAATCAGTAGAAGAACCATAAAATTAGGCTAGCATTTTGCCGTTTCCTCTATCAAAATTTAGCCTTTACGTCAAAAGTAATCTCATATTCCGAATCAGCATCCAAAACTGCATCAGATGATGTGTCAGTTGGGAATTTTTCGCAACATTTGATATCAGCTGTTTTCTAAAAACTAAAAACCAGAATATTCACCTAATACAATAAAATAAAAATTTAGTAAAATTTAATTTTAAAATTTTAAAATAGTAAGTAGTAAATAGTAAATAGTAAGTATATGTACTGAACTTTTCTCAGCTTACTTACATCATTAGGTGAGAAAAACATTATTTACCTAAAAAAGTATTAAGTTTTTGAGCACGTAGCTATCATTATAAAATGTCCTGTCCATTGTCCATTCATCGTAAAAACTTGATTCTTGTCTAGATCGATAGAGAAATGCGTGAAGAAATATTTACAACGAGAAAATATGTAAACATTTTTGTTCTTTCCATCCTGTTATTGACTAATTAGTACTCAATTAGCGTGAATTTAGCCTACTCTACTAGTTTAAAGTCCCATTTGTATAATAACAACTCAACAAAAATAATTTTCATTCGAAGGGTAAAAAGCTCAATTTTCCAGTTCCATAAACTTTTCTCTCCCTTTCTGTACATTTAAAATTTTTCTTACACGTAGTCTGATAGAAGAAAGTGTTTTATTCCCAATGAGATGTTTCCCAGAATCCCCCTTAAATTTCGTCTGATCGACTTAGCGATTTTACCAGAGGTACTCAAGACACTCTTGCAGAGATAATTTTTCGGATTTTTATTTTAGACTTTTCTTTACCGACTAATAGGGTTTCGAAAATTCAAAAACGTGGTTTTTGCGACGTTTTTCAGTATTTTTTCTGTAACTCGAACAGGATAGGTCCTCTCTCAAAAATGACCGCTGCGGGATTCACCTTGAGTATCTCGGATAAAAGTTTGAACTGGATCGGATGAAATTTAAGGGAGTCGTAATGTGGCACAATGACAAGCCAAGTTTTCTGAAAAACTGGTGAACGGCAATAGTTGAAAACTTGAAACAAAAACGAAAACATGTTCTATTGAGTTTCCAATGAGTTCTGAAAGTATGAAGCCTTAATGAGTTTTATTTTTTATTTTACAGCATTTCTACGGAAAGCCCAAAATGCGGGAAGGAATACCCTAAAGCTAGTAGAGTAGGCTACATTCACGTTAATTGAGTACGAATTAGTCAATAACAGGAAGGAAAGAACAAAAATGTTTACATATTTTCTGGTACTATGTATTCTCCACGCATTTCTCTATCGTTCTAGACAAGAATCAAGTTTTCATGATGAATGGAGAATGGACAGAAATTTTTTTAATAATAGTCCCTTGTTCAAAAACTGAACAATATCTTTCTAACTATTTAATTTTTTTCTCAGCCAGATAATGTCAGTAAGTTGAGAAAACTTCAGAACATGTAGTTCGACATATCTTCTACAAAGTGGAAACGTTAGAGGAAAATCTAAATGGGGGAACCCCCCGTTAAGGCCTCCTTCCTGGTTTAGAAATGCCGATTTTCGTCAAAACCTTTGATTTTGAGAAAAGCACATAGTCTGATAGCCCAAAGTGTCTACTTTCTTAACTTATTTTAACTTATTTTGCGTTTTTCTTAAGCTTTAGGGCTTTCGCACGCACAGGAACTCTTAGTAATGATAAATCTGAAGAAGTTTTTCTTTTTTTTGATTTGTAGATAACACCTGTAGTTAGGAGTTGACAGCGTCCGATTTTTAAATTATGCCTCTATCTTTTATAGAAATGAGAATTTCTAAGAAACCTTACAAGGAGTTTTCTGATTTTAAAGTTCTGTTAAGCACCAGAAATCAGTAAATGAGAAATTTAAAAATCCGACTCTGTCAACTTCCAGGCAGAGGTGTTTGCTGCAAAACAATAACAGCTCGAGCTCTCCATCATTTACCTGGAATGAGAATTCCTGTGCGTGGTAGACGCCTACTTCTGGCCCTTGTTGTGGCTCCCTCTCACGAACAGTTGCAAGTGACGCCCAAAGAAAAGAAGAAGCTTTCTCATGTGTTAAAAATCGTGAAATCTAAATAAGTTTGAAAATCTGTTTTTAAAGTAGTTTTTAGATGGATCATAGAAAAATCGGCTCACAGTTGAAAATGTTGTAACGCAAATGTGTTTGTTATTTCTCTGGAGTAGCTAACTTAGTGTCCTCTTTGCAATGGAAGTCAAACGAGTCCTTCATTGTCAAAAGTTTAAGAAAACAATGCGAATTTTTTAATTCTAGATAAAAATAGCCTAAAATATGTCGTTTTCTATGAAATTTTTTCAATTTTCAGTTGTTTCAGAGGTTCAGACACGGTTGATTATCTACGTTTTTCATCTAATTTCCAGACTAACAAAAGTCGGTAGATAGCATTCTTGAGTCTCTCAAGAAACTCGATACCATACCTAAGCAGTTGAGAATGGATGTCTCTCTTGGTGTTCATTTCAAAGCGGATACTTCATTAACTTCAAAATGATGAAGCTCAAACTACGTTTTTTTGTTTAAACCATTTATTATCGATTGTAACCGATCGTGGGACTTTTAAGAATTCTTTTTTTTTACAAGTATTGGATTGAGATGAAGAATAATCTTGCAGAAAAATGTACTTGTACGTCGTTACCTCAACTTAATTTGATATTCAAACTCTCCAGCTATTTTCTAAGAGATGAAAACTACCGCACACTGGATGCCTCATTTTGACCCTTGTAGGGTGAAAATCTACCGAACGAAAGTAGGTGGAGTCTTCCAAACTTTATTGTCAGTATTCCTTGACATGGTCAGCATTTCCTAAAATTTTTGTCTAGACTCGACTTATGGTTACCTAGATATGCTTCTAATAAAACTTCCAAGTATTTACTGAACATATTAGATTCGAATTTTGTGAAAGTGTCATGAAAATCTATAAGATTTGAGAAACATTTTGCTTCGATAAATCGTCTTTTTTCATGCAAGTTGATTGGATGAAGATTTACTACACTTAATGACACCATGATTCATTAACACTATCTTCAAAATGTTCTAATCAAGCATTTGTTGCAACATAACATATTTTTATTTCAGATAAGTGTGCATAAGCATGATTTATCTGTCGCAGTTACTGTATAGACTCTAAGTTCTGTCAAAAAACGTGAATATTCAGATATTGGCAATGTTTTTCCATGAGATTCACGTAATTGCTCATTTAATATTTGATACATTTTTGAATCTGGAGATGATTCGCACATTTTAAAAGTTTGATATAAACCAGCACCATTCATTTTTTCACACAATAATAGCATTGTTTTAAGTTCGGTATCATTAAGAAAACTTTGAACATCTTGTTGGGACCATGATATTAGATTTTTTTTTGCGTAAGATGTTGCAATTATTGGTTCAACCGATGACTGGATGATTAACGGCGGCGTTTCTTTATATGCGACATTATTATTCTGCACTAAACCAGGATGATTTAATACATTATTATTCTGCATTGAACCATGTTGATTTAATACTTTGTGTTTCGAAACTGAATTCGAATGGATAGAGCGATAACGTTGAATTTCAATCATTAATTTATCATATGCATTATCGAAACCGTGTTTATGAAAGTCAATATAAGTTAGAGGAGCAGTTAAAAATCCTAGCCAACCATCCGGATGATAGTTTTCTGTCATTTTTAATGGAATAATATTCCGTTGACGAGTAAATGCATATTGAGCTTCAGCTCGACAATATACACTTTGTTTATAAGATGCTGACATGCATAAAAGAACAAATTCTGAATTTTCAATTGCTTGTGCCATTTCTTCCATTTGTGGACCATATAAGTTTTCTTTATCTACCCATACTCGAAAATGATCTGCTATTAATCGTTCATGTAACCTATAGCATAAATCTTTATCATCATGTGAATAACTGATCATCATACCATATTTATATTCTTCAGCTATCTGTGATTGGTCTTTAGACTGACTTGTCATCTGCTCAATTTTCTCTTGTTTTGCAACAAACTCATCTTCTTTTTCTAATTTCCAAAGAATACCTGCGATTGATTTTTTTATAGCATCTTTAGTAACTGTTTTTGATAATTTTTTGATTGTGGTAATAAAACTAGAATCACGTTTTAAAAATTCAGCTGCTTCTGGATTAAATGTCATTGTCCATAACATTTCTAATGAACGTTCAAGATTCCAAGCATCAAATTCAACATCATTTAAACACTTTATAAGCAATGGCAAACCATCTTGTTGAACTAGTTCTCGTCTAATTTGATCATGTTGAATTAGACCTATAAATTATAAAGAAAGAAAAAATAGGTAACAGTTCTAACGAGGAAATCTACGAAAGTGATCCTTTCTGTTTTCAGTGATTTATACGTCGAGCGATAGAGAATATCGAGGTAGCAAAAAGCCTGACAAGATTTTGGTCGATGACTCATTCTTCAAAAGTTAGAGCGATTTTTCTATATTTTTCTAAGACAACATGGAAAAAGTAGAAAAATTCATATATCCGTCCAGAAAAGTAGTTACTAGCTCGACTTTCTTTCTATGACTCTTCTATATGTCAGTGGTATTCATACAAAGTTTCAGCTGTACAACTCATTCCATTCCCGAGTTATTAAATTTTAAGTTTTCCATAGATTAGTCTTTTGATAGGTTCACAATATAATGCCTTCCAAAATCGTTAGTTTTGAACTTAGAACTGTTGAAACTTTCATAAAAGACATGATTTTGTAGTCTAATTTCGCTTATGAAAACAAAAACGATTTCTCAAGCTGGTTGTAGATGCTGAGGGCTTTGGAGACGTCCTTGAAAAGCGGAGTTACAAAACATTGAAGTTATATAATTTCGATTAGTTTTCTGTGCCGATCAAAACCGTGCCATTTTCGAAAGTTTCAATAGTTCTAGTAGAAGACTACCGATTTTGGAAGCCATTATATTGTCAGTCTCTGAAAGGGCTAATCTATGAAAAACTTAAAATTCGATAACTCGGTAATGAAATGAGTTGTAAAGCTGGAACTTTGTATGAATACCACTGACATATAGAAGAGTCATAGAAAGAAAGTCGAGCTTGTAACTACTTTTCTGGACGGAGATATGAGTTTTTCTATTTTTTCCATGTTGTCTTAGGAAAATATAGAAAAATCACTCTAACTTTTGAAGAATGAGTCATCGACCAAAATCTTGTTAGGCTTTTTACCACCTCGATATACTCTATCGATCGACGCATAAATCACTGGAAACAGAAAGGATCACTTCCATAGGTTTCCTCATAAGTGTTAAACCCGCCTCTTTCAAAACCAGACAAACCTCTTAATTGACATAACAACCCATAAACTGTAGTATTACGAAGTTTTTGTGCTTTTTCTTCGGTAGCATTTTTAATAGACTTCAGTAGTGTTGAAACTGTTTGTGCAGGATCACTGACGTCCTTATCCATATCGTTATCAATAGTATAAGCGCCAGTATATCTAAATATTAGACGTTTGTATGAATTTTATTTTTTGTAACATTTTGGTTCTTACATATATAAACCAAGTTTACACGCATTTGAATCATAATTGTTATATATCTCATCGGGATTAAACGAGATAGTGTTTAAAGGTGTGTGTTGATTTTCAAACAATCTACAATACAAAAACTTTTTTTCACTGCTAAAAAAATTAAGTCATTTTTTTCAAACTTAATCTCGCCCGGTTTGTTTGAGACATAATCTTTAATAGATATAACAAATTCACCAGTTTTTGATGATTGAATGTTTTGTTGTATGAATATTGCCACCTCAAATGAAGAAAAAATAAAGCTCATTTATTTTCTAAAACTTCCTAGTCATTATGACAAACTATAGTTGACGTTACCCTAATAGATTTATCTTGAAAAAATGATAGCAGCGTTTGGCGAATTAATAGCCATTCACAATCGTTCATTGCCTGATAATACTATAAAGAAAAAATATCAAAAAAATATCGAACTATAATAGACACATTTTTTTTTCTTTTTACCTGAGTAAAATCAAAGAATGTTTGATCTAGGAGTTGCAGACTGTCGGGTTCAGCAAACATTTTTCGAACTGAATGTATATGATTGTATGTTATTTTAACAAGATCACACGCTCGTGCACACATTATAATTTGATATTTAACTTGCATTGTCATTAAGTCATATAACTAGAAAATATTCAGAAGAGTTATCTTATGGTACAGTTTTCTTCTTAGTTTTAGCAGGATTCTTCTGTGCTTAACCAATACTACTAGATCTCTCATTAAACAGGGCGATCCTATATGTGACTCATGTAGTTTAGTTTAATCTATATTTATTAGTCAGCCGAAATAAGCATCACAGATAGTCAAGAATCGCAGAGCATTTTACTTGGCCATCTGAAGAAACGCATTATAGACAAATGGGAATAGCTACAAAATAAAAAACGATCGTTTTTAAAAAAAAGAAAAGAGAGTAAGAAGTAGGGGATATGCAGAGTAACTTAACTGTTAAATTGTTTTGAGTATTCAATAAATTTTATAACAGCAGAATATATTACAAAGTATTAATCATATTCAAACCTATTTTTTAATAGCAGATTTTTAACATCAATCCTAATATTTCGTAGAATGGAGTCGATGACGGTATTCGTTCCATGATTTTTCGTAAGCTTTTATAAGATCGTGTAAAATCTTGATCTGATTTTTTGACCTGGATAAGCATTTTCGAAAAAGGTGAGAATTCAGATCAGAAAAACCACATCTTAACTGGTAATTGATCTGATCACACTTTCCAGGACTCATTTACCCTGTTTTGTTCGTCATTGCACTTGTATGCATAAAGATAACAGATATCAACGAGAAAATTTTAGAAACTGATCTTTCGTCTATTGAGTTAAAACTAAAAATTAACTGAACTTGTCACTCTCTGATAATTTCAGCAATGATTCTATTAATACTTCTTCAAGAAAAATAAAAAACGGAAAGAAAAAGCTATTGTATAGACACATGGATACTAAGCCGCGTCCACTTTCTTATCGTATGTCGCAACGCGAGTCTCTTTGAAAATTCGCAGCAGGATCGCGTAATGCATTCGCTGTAAGACTCGCGAATTCTTTTTTTGCGTTCGTACAAAAATCAATCGTGATTCGCAGGTGTTTTACTATAATTGCTGTTTTTATTCGAAGTTTTCAATTATCGTCGTGCACGAGTTTTTCAGAAAACTTGGCTTTTCATTGTGCCACATTATGACCTCCTTTAATTTCATCCGATCCAGTTCAAACTTTTATCCGAGATACTTAAGGTCATTCCGCAGAGGTCATTTTTGAGAAATATTTCTGGGATCTATCTTGTTCGAGTTACAGGAAAAATACTGAAAAACGTCGCAAAAACCAAGTTTTTGAATTTTCGAAACCCTATAAGGTGGTAAAGAAAAGTCTAAAATCGATTGTAATGTGGCACAATGTGGCACAATGTAGCCTGGTAGCAAACAAATAGTTTACGAGAAAAAACCATTTTGCACATAGGTCACTATTTTCAGAGCATTTGCCGCAATGCTTATATCTCCGCGAAAACTCTTCAGAAAATTCTGTAAAACACCTCATTGTGAATGAAACACTTTCTTCTATCAGACTATGTGTAAGAAAAATTTTACATGTACAGAAAATGAGAGAAAAGCTTAGGAAACTAAAAACCTGAGTTCTCTTATGTTTTGAAGGAAAAACTTCCTAAATCCATAAAAAAACTTTTGAAAAAAGATCGTGGAGTACTGGGAGTGGTCTTATTTAAGCTTATAGCCCACACTTTCTTTTACATTAGGCTATGCTCAGGTCAAAATCTGAAATTTTTACGAAAAAGAGAGGGGAGCACCCTTAAGATGCGATAAGATTTTGAAAATTTTTTGAAAAATCAGTGAGAGTGAAATACCAGGCGCGTAAGCAATACAAAAACGATGGACAGAATTGACATTGGAGTCGCGCCGCAACCCTGTATCATATCGCAGTTGATTAAATCTAATTAACTGTGTTTCTGAAATAATGAAAAATTTGCGAATTTCTGGTTGAAAAGTGCACCAAAGGATCATCCTTTATTCGAAAGAGCGATAAAAACACTTCTAGTTTCTACGATTACATAATTTTCGTGACACGACTCTTCCGCGAACAGGATCCCAAGTCTTCTGCGAACCGACTGTTGCGCAAATTTTTCTTAAAACAAATGTAGGCATTTCTAGCAGCGAAAAAAGGTCGGTTCGCGGAAGAGTCGGGGTCCTATTTGCGGAACAGTCGGTGATTCCATAATTCCAGACATATTCTGTTATAGAGAAAAATATACTTGATGAGAAAGAAACACGTTTGAAGAGAGCGAAAGTTTCAAGAGCTGTTTTGGCGACATTTGCTATTTAGATTTTTTCTCACTCAAAACTTAATCAGGAAAAATTTGTTCTCCGTGTTTTGGAAAGCTCAGACTTTGTTCTTTTCAACTGAAAAGTAATTAACTCTCCAGTATATCGCGAACATGGAGAAATACTGCTTGACATTTATACCATTACTTTTGCATCATATGTTAGTTTAACTTAAAGTTTCTCAAACTAACTGAAATAGAATATATTTTCAAATTCGGAAGTACTTTAAACCGATTTTGAGTGATTTATGATGCATTTTTCAATTTAGCATAAAAATAGTTTGAAGTAAATAATTTCACCTGAAGTAGGTCTCACTAGGTTTTTTAAATTTTTAATAGAATTGTGTACATCAATCCATACCTAGAACTTCTAGAAACGCTGATACTAGCTTTTATCAGGTGGTTGAAACCCGCAATCTACTTTTGTTCAAACATTATCCAGAAAATATCTTAGTCCATGTTATTCTTGTAAGTTACTGTTATGCTAGGAATGCTTGTTATATGGAACAGTTGTTATGGAACGAAAGAAAAGCTTATAAATCAATCTCAGTCATTAACATTGAATATCTTTTGATTCTATGATACCGCATACTGATAAGAGCTGTTCAATTTACCAGTTATCTTACACTTATAAAAACAAATGAATTATGAGTATATTTTATGAGTGATCATTAAGGCAGAATCAGAAGATATTTAAAGGTATCCCTCCTCCTCTTCGGAGCTCTTAGCAAAAGAAGGGGTCCGCATAAGGTTAGGGATCCGCCCACTATCTTTTTCGAGCAAAAATGATTTTGTATGTAGTAAAAAAGTATTCCTATTCGACTCCAGGTAAAATCGAATGCACTTGTTTCCGAAAATCACAAACAATATCTTCACAATCGGCACCCTCAAAACAACGCAAAAAGCATAAGTGGAAGCTGTTTAAGTCAAATTTCCTACACCTAAACAGCAAAGTAAAATATACTGTTGGATAGCCCTTGAAATTCTCTGCAAAGTGAGATGATCGGGATATCTAGACAGGTAGGACCAATTATTAAAGATATAGAAAAGAAGCGTCTGGGTGTTATACATGCACTACAATATGTCATAATTACAAGAACTCCTTTGCTTTTGATTTTTCAGCAAAAGCGGGAATAAATCTGAATATTCTGATAGCCTGAAGATTTTTCTATCAAATGAGATGGATATCGCCATTGTGTGAGAAAACTTGATAACAGAGTTTCTGGAAAGTGTGACCCCTAGAAAACTAAGTGTTTGATTTTTTGGTCAGAAAATTTTGCAAAACAATATAACCTGATAGAGCAAAGAACCGTGAGCAAAATAAGACAGTTCCCGACTGTCTATAACGCTTTTTCACCAGAATCGTTTGGAAGTTTTCACACTTTTTGTAGCCATTCGCAAATCGACTGCAGTAGATGAAAAGGTGTTATAGACAGCCAGGAGATGTCTTATTTTGCTCACGGTTCTTTGCTCTATGAGGTTGTATTGTTTTGCAAAATTTTCTGACTAAAAAATCAAACACTTAGTTTTCTAGGGGTCACACTTTCCAGAAACTCTGTTATCAAGTTTTCTCACAGAATGGCGATATCCATCTCATTTGATAGAAAAATCTTCAGGCTATTCAGAACTGTATTCAGATTTGTTCTCACTCTTGCTGAAAAATCAAAAGCAAAGGAGTTCTTGTGATTAGGACACTGCACTGCATATAACGACTGATTCATAAAGAATTGCGCTGTTAGTATTTTCAAACTTTCTTCTCTTCTTTACACTTCTTTTATTTAAGCTAGTTTTTTTACCAAAAGATTCCCCGTTGAACTCTTTACAAAAAATGTATTGACTGTTTTATTACAAAATCCAAAGGTGAAAAATGTCATGAGAAAATGTGGGAAGTAGAAAAATGCAGAAACGATAAATCTAGTTACAGTTTTTTTTTTATATTATTTGCTAAAAATTTGTGAGAGAGGAAAGCTAAAGTGGCTACTGTGTATGCCTCGAAAAGAAGTATTTTCCATCTATAATTTGAATAATTTTCAGTTAGAATTGAGGACGCAAGAATTTCATTATTTTCTGCCAATTTTTAAAAAACCGACGATTTTTTTATCAATAATTTGTGCCTTCCAATAAAACAAATAAAGCTTAGTCAAACTGGATCCATTCATGTTGATTTTTTAATTTTGAAAACAAATGATTAGGCATGATGATATTCTTTTTAGTTCTGTTAAAAGATTTCTCTCAGGAGATAAAATGTAGGCCTTAGGACAACGATTTCACTTGTTTGATCTTCTTTTCTTGTTTCTTTTAATTTCTTTAAATAAAAAGCTTAAACTAATGATTAGTCTTTATGATCGGATTCCAAAGTTTGGAAAACAAATTTAGTTTGCTTCACAACGCAAAAAAAAAAGATAATAACTTTTGCTATTTTCACTTGATTGCCGAGAAGCTAATGTTTGCATCAGATATTTAGATTCAAACGATTTTTGCTCTACACGACGAGAAAGAGCGTATTCGAAACTACACAAAAATATACCAAAACCGTGTTTTAATGCTTGTGAAACCATTCAAAAAAGTTTTGCTCTCTTTCAGAAAATACGTTTATTTTTTCTACATTTTGTACTTCTCACATTTTAAAACAGTCAATTCAGTTTTTGTAAGGAGTTAACCGGGAATCTTTTGGTAAAAAGACTAGGTCAATCAAGTGTAAGGAGGAGGAGAAAGTTTGAAAGTGCTAACAGTGCAATTCTTTATGGGCCATCCGTTATACGTTAAATTAAGGGGAGAAAAGCAGGCTCGATATTTGGATTTTTATGGATTTTAAAAGCCTGCCGAAGTGCACAGTACGATGGACGTTTTCATATCTAATAAAGTCTATAAAGGCCAGAAAATTCCACTTTAGTTCATCTAAACCGATCGAAGTCGTCAGAAGTCTACATAGGTCCGGATCTATAAAAGTCTTCAGAAATCCCTGGACTTACGTAAATTTCCACGGACTTTGAAAATCC